AAAACTCTGCTCAGTGCCCCGGCGGATCGAAGCTCTGCTCATCTCGGCCTGTAAGCACCGTAACTTCGCGAGGGAGTGAAGGATGAAACGTTATCTTTCCCCGGGGCGAGTCGGAGGCGGGGAGGGGGGGTTAAAGATGAATATCTCATGAAAAAGTTCTTGGATTAACTAAGGTGTTGGCTTTGGAGTTTCTGGGTTGTGAAGTTTTTAAAGTTGTCTATAGGGTCTCAAGGGATGATTTGGTGCCTGACCCCGCCCCAAACTGTCGAGAGAGCCGCAACTCCTACTCCGAGTGTACCTATGCCCAAGATTTGAACCCTGAACCCGAAACCCTAAACCTGAAGTGACCTCAGCCTAGGGCTAGGGGCCTGCCTTACCCCGGGGGGTTTCAACTCAAAGCCAAGGCTCCGGAGGGCTCCCCAGCAGCGCCAGCTGGGCTCCGTTGATGGCCTCTGGCAGTGCTCGGATCCGATACCGGCTTGTTAAGTTGTTCCACTATCACTTCTCCTCTCCGACATGATGAAACTTCATCTTGATCAGCATCTTTCCGCACCGACTCATTCCTCTAACAGCGCACCATCAACTGCGGCCTCGAGTGGCAAACCTCTAGGTCTTCTTTCCGCAGCAGACGCTAGTGCGAGGCAGTGTCTTGACATGTGCTGGATTGGGTAAACGGTTTGACTGACTAAGTTCATAAACCCGACAATGTCGCCGACATCCGACAACAGCAGGAGCCACCCCAACCCTGGACCCATGCTCCGCAGAAGCCTAAACTCTGAGGAATTCTGAGCCCTGAAGCCCTGGAGAGATCCCAACCATAGGGGCCCTAACAATTAGAATAGGGTTTTGAGGCCCATTATACTCTAACTGTACTAAGAAACCGCCAAAGTACTACTAGTATCATACTATCGGCAGGTATTAAGGCCTCTATATTATAGCACCGCAGAAGAGGCGCGCGGATGGTCTGCGTCCACATCTCGTAGACGGACGAGGCCGGACCGATCGAGGCGAGCCTGGGCCGGCTCCGAAACGTCTGGAAACCCTGGGAGGGTGCATGATTATTGTCTATAGTTATGGTTTATTATGGTTTGCTATTGCTTGTCATGGTTTGTTATGGTTTATTTTGGGATTCAAAAGGCTTAGATGGGTAAAAACCGATAATGTCGAGAGTCTAGGCCCAGTTTAGGCCCCTGAAAGCCTCAACTTATCTGGAGTTGCGAGTGGCGGGTCGGGCGAAGAGGATTTCAGGGATTGGTGGGGCGTGCTTCGGAACATGGCTTTCGGTGTGGAACTTTCTGGAGTTTAGCTTCTGAGACCCCTGGATGCATCTCTGGAGCTGCAAGGACGAGACATGACCGACGAAGGCCTTGTCCACCGCCGTCCTGCCAGTTCTGTTAGTACGGCGTGCCACAGTTTTTTCCAGCATAGCAGAAGATACCACGATAGAGCAAGCTGGATTCCACTTGCACTTGGACTGGGAGCTCAGATTTATGCGTCGTTTCAAGCGCTTGCGAACAGATGGCTGAAAATCGGGCTCGAGAGTTTAGATCCAAAAGACGGCCTCTGCGTGATTCAAAATTCCAGCACTTGAGGGTTAGCTGAGAAGCACTGAGGCCCCGGCGCCAAGCATCCGACCACTACTAGCAGATATCCCGGAATCACAAAGAGGACAATGCGCCGAAACAGCTGTGCCTGACAGGGATCTGTCTCATTTTCCGACACGACGACTCGAGGTGTCTTTTGCCGGTAAAGGCCTTGTCTTGCTTCAAACAAAAGGACAAGATTTCTAGATTTCTATTTAGGGCCCCTTTCAAGGTTCTTCTTACGCCGAAAAAGGTCCCCCAATTTAGAGAACTACCCATAATATACATACCACAACTCGACCCAGCCCGCATCTCATCTTGACGGCTCCCAGAAAGCCGACCCAGAACGCTCCCAAGGAGAACCGGCCCGTGAAGCCCGGAAACTTCTACCCGCACCTCCTGAATTCTAAACATAGAGAGACAGAGAGACAGAGAGAGAGAGAGAGAGAGGGAGAGAGAGAGAGAGAGAAAGTAATAAAAAGAAAGAAAGAGAAATAACGAGAAAGACAGCGAGGGCACACAGTACGCCTTTGTGGCCAGCGCCAGCTTTCTGTCCGTTTCCTTGCGGGGCAGCAGGAACCGACGTTTGGCCCGGCTGGCTTACACGAGTTTCCTGTTTTGCTCCGACTCCCATACTCCACATCCCCATACCGGCCATGCTGCATTGAAACTCATAGCTTCTGCGAGCCCCAGTCCCCCACAGGCCTTCTCAACCCCTTCAAAACCGGCAGACCATGGACAGGCCTTTTCGAACCGAAACGGGGCTAAAGACAAAACGTGAATCCGAAGGCACCGAACTTGAACACCCTCATTTGCTGCAGCCTGGCATCCATCCTCTCATGGGGCTACGCGCCGGCCGTGGAAAGCTTGCTCACTCATATGGGACACAGGATCAGGATTAGGATACGATAGGATACGGAGTATATGGAGGGGTTTCGGGTGGAGGGCTTTCTTCGAAACAAGTAATGCCTCGTTTCTCTTTTTTTGCAAAGCTTTTGACTATTTTTGACCTGCACGGCCTCAGGATGCAGAGCTTGGACTTGTCCCTTGTGAAAACCGCCACCAGGTTCGCATCGGCATCCTTGCCAATCTGCTCAACATCCGCCATACAGGCATATTCACATAGTGGTCCCTATCCGGCCCGACTACAAGTACTAGAGTCCGTGCACTGTTCTAAGCGTTACGGCTTGAAGCGCTGAGAGAAGCGAGAGAGGCGGAGTGCTCGATTTTCCCACACGCACCGGAGGTCGACTCGCTCCTTGAGCCTGGGCATCCGGCAAACAGGGCTCTCAACTTGACGGCCCTACTTCCCCCTAGTTTGTGGGCTCCTCCGCGTTCGAAAGGGTAGGGGCACAGGGAACCCTGTTGCTGCCCAGAGACACTCAGCCGAAGAGGTCGAAGTCCATCTCCTCCTCCTCTTCCTCCTCCTCGACCTGTCCGCGCACGCAAAGAGAGGCCATGAGAGGCAGATTCTCGGCGTTAACGAGCACAAGATGAAACGCCCCCTGACTCAGAACTCCCCTCAATTGAAATCTCGCTGGCTTCCGCTTTGCCTTCTTCTCCTCCTTCTTGGCCTCGCCACCACCTGCAGCAGGCTTCGACTGGGCGGTCGCTTGCTGGAGTTCAGGAAAGGCTTCCCACCATGAGACTGTGTCGTGTTGACCACGCTTTCCTTTTGTTTAGTATCCAGGGCTGGGGACATGGGACTAGATCTTGGAGAGAACCCAGGCGCCGGAGTGGCTGTGACGCGGCTTCCCCGACAATCAGGCCTGCACCGGCGTCCGCAGCGCCTCCGCCAGCCACTGCGACACCGCCGCCGCCACCACCACCAAACTTCAGCATGCTGTCCTGAGCTCGAGGCTCGAGGTGCACAGCAAACGTGTGACTTATCCCTCGCAAGGTGTTAGATTGAAGTCTGTCGGCCGAACGGGTCCGGAACTTGCGCTTCGGAGGTTTCCCCTTTTGACTGCAGGCATCCTGGACTGGTTTGCCAGGTGTCCAGATCCTTGCCTTGGCACAGCTTGGCGAACAGGGCCGGGAAGAATGAATCGATGGAGCCACCAGCAGCCTCTCCGCGCAAACGGGCTGCTCCCAAAAAGTCGCAAATTTCCCGTAGACCAAAGCCACGACCCTGAACCCCACCGCCAAGATCTCCGAAACCTCGGATTCCGATCTCTGTGGCTGGGACTAGGCCTTGATCAGCGTGTTGAGGTTCTCCTCCGTGATGTCAAGCTCGCTGTCCTGCCGTCTGCTGTCATCCGACTGGACTTTTGAGGCATGTGGCTTGGAACCCGATGCTTGTCCTTGGGCTACTGAGGCTCTGAAACTGCCTGCACCCGGTCGACCGTATCATTAGGGCAAGAGAGACGCACCCTGGTCCGGGTTGTCTTGGAAGCTGAAGCACGCTCTGAGTCAGCTTGGTTGCCTTTGACCACCCAATGCATCAGACTTACACTGCATCAGACTTGCCGAGTAGGGCTTGCGGTTCGATTTTGCTTTCCCTGCTCGGGTTGAGGTGAGGGCTTAGAGCAAGGATGTCCTTCAGGATCATAGCGGCATAAGCGCAGAAGAGCTCATCTTTCTCGGCCTGGAGAACCACCGCTGCACAGCAATCTTCTTGGCATCACTGAGCCGAAGCACAGTTTGTATCATCTACATGAAACCTTGTTTCTTGCACAGCCCGGCAACACAAAGCCTTGCAAGCACAAGCTTACCTCAACGGAGGAGGATGACGATACAAAGCCTTGCAAGCACAAGCTTACCTCAACGGAGTTTGATGACGGCCGGTGATGATGGTGATGAGGATGATAACTGCAACGGCGCTGGCGAGGATGACGAAGATGATGCCCATCAACGACCAAACTAATGATGACGGTGGTAGTGGTGGTGCTAATGTAATGATGCTGATGCTGATGCTGGTGATGATGATGATGGTGATGATACTCACCCTCGTCTTGGTATCAGTTCTGGAAGCCTGGCCTGGGGAACTTCGGCTGCGGGGACTTCCGCCATGGCTGCCAGGAAGGCCGGGGGTGCGTCGGAAAGTTCGAGCCGCTTGGAAGCAAAGCCGCATGCTCGAAAGATACAGCCTGCCGGTCACCTTGCAGTCTGACTGAGGGATACGGATTCAGGGTTAAGGGCAGCTTGAGGTTTTAGCTGTTTGACTTTAAACACTGGGAGTCACAGACGTTGAACCCCAACTTGCCCTGCTTGCGCCCGCGTGAGCTCGCCGAAACCCCAACCTTATCTACATTCATAGTAGTGATAATGTACTGTATGTTTGTTGTTATGGTATATTAAAGTATATTCTAGTACATCGTAAAGTAGTATAGTATATTATGGTATATGAAAGTACGAGTATATTCTAGTACATGGGTCCCCGTAGGGCCCTCGTCTCTTTTGGAGGCTCCAGGCGGCCTCGCTGTTCCACACGATGGGCAGGAAGCATGCTTTCCAAATACCTGCCGCGGATTGCCGCAGAATCTGTATTCGTCTGTCTCCATGTATGTATATATGTATATATATACACACACATGCATAACACATATTCATTTGCCTTCACATATATACAAATAGAATATACATATATATATATATGTATGTATATATATATATATGTATGTATATGTATATGTATATGTATATGTATATATATATATATATATCAGTGTACCCCCCCCCCCCCCCCCCCCCACCACCCCACCCCCCACCCCCCGAGTTATCTACCCGTGTTGGTGTAAATCATGTCGATTGTGCCCCTGACCTTCTCCCCCTCACTGTAAAGACTACTCCTACTCTGTATGTGTCTATGTCTACACTCTGAACCCTACAGAGGTAAGTGTGCAGTACTAAAACAACTACATACGAGAACTGATAGTCGATGGTCTTTGGGATACTCGTCGCACAGTCCCGGAGCCCTATCGAGTTCAATAGGCCTCTGGAATTCAATAGGGCTGTCGGATTGAAGATTGAAGATGGCCCTGGAACGTTTTTCTGTGAGATCTTCAATTTTCAATCCGGGATGCCTATTGAATTCAAAAGGCCTGTTGAACTCAATAGGGTTGGTATGTACTCAGCTACTTGTCCAAAAGATGCCAAATCCGTGCTGTCGCCTCACCCGCTTCCTTCAGAAAACTGTTGCTAGGGGACCGCTGTGTTATCTGTTGCAAATTCGACAGGGCGGTTCAATAGCACCAAATTTTCTGAAGGGTGTCGCTTCAGAAAACGTGCTGCTATCGGAACCGCTGTATCTTCCAGACCTTAGACAGCAGTTCGATAGCACCAAATTTTCCGAAGGGTTTGCTTCACAAATTGATGCTATCGAACCGCCGTGGTATGCTTGGCAAATACGGACAACAAGCAGGGCGGTTCGATAGCACCAAATTTTCCGAAGGGTGTCGCTTCAGAAAAAAGTGTGCTCCTCCTGATTTTCCTCATTTTAACCGTTATCTACAGGGTATGCTATAGGATATCCTATAACGTGTTCTAAAGGGTATCCTACACGGTATTCTAGAAGATATCTATAAGGTATATTGAAGGTAGGCAGAGGGTATATTACATAGGCCATCTTCTGTAAGGTATTCTACTACAGGGTATTCCAGATGGCGTTCTATACCTATCAGGCAGGTTGCACGCTTTCAGGTTTTCTCACGGGTGCTTCATTGTACAAAAGGTATTCTGTAGCCTATATTTAGGCGGGTATGTTATGGGGTATTCTATTTTAAATCCGTCAAGGTATACAAAGGGTGTATACTATAAGGTCGTTGTAAAGCTCCTCTGCTTGGTTCCTGATTCTTCACAGGCCCATGTAGAGTACTCTCTTCCAAAGGGGATTCTAAAGGGTATCTTTAAAAGTAATCTATGGGTTTTCTATACGGCATATGCAAGGTATGAGTGGTCGTCTATAAGGTATTCTGCAGGGTATTCCAAATGGTATTCCATGTATCAGTGGAATTTTATAAACTGTTCTATAAGGCAGCCTAAACGGTGTTCTCTAGGTTACTCCACAGGGTATTGTAGAAGGCGGTCTATGGGGTATGCATAGGGGGGTATTTGTTACGGTATTCTGTTCTCTATATGTATCCCTTACTAAATCAGCTTCGATTTGTTCAAGGAGTTCCTGGATCCTAGATTCCACGCCGCGGCCCGCCAAACGGACCCTGCGGTCCAACCCTCCTTCCCACCCCCCAGCGGGATAGATATATACACATGACTGCTAAGTAGAGCAGCACGACCAGCATGACCAACACGAACACCAGCACGACCTCCCCGCCGCGTCAACCCCTTCCCTCGAGTCTCCTACTTCTCCTACTAAGTTTTTATTATATTACGAAGGACCACCATCCCCAAAAATTTGTTCACCCATACAAGACACATCCAGTCATGTATTGCCCAGATTCAGACATTTTCACCCCATGGCGTATACTGCTTCCAACCACGTCCACAGTTACCCATTTCCACAATGCTGTCCCAAAGATGACGTAAGAAGCAGTGCACACCCATTCTTACCCAATCGAATCTTGTCTTGTTTATCTGACCTTTGTAGGATTCCTGGTCAATCTGAGAAACCTCGAATTGCTTCAGATCCCAAGAGCAGCCGCCAGGTCACCATGCTCTTGTGGTTGATACACGAATCGTTTGGGCCTGGCAGTGCGAAGCATGCCTCACCATCTGGAGACTTTCCTGATAGGATTCTTGAAGTACAGTCCCTGCGGCTTCTGAGCGTGCTCCAGTCTGGCGAACCCTGGTATGCGCTCTCTCCTCACACAAGAACTCACCAAACACTCAGTGTAGCCAGGCTCCGCACATTGCCAGTCTCCGTCCATGCCGCCCTGCTATTGGCGGTGCTCTGAAGGGAATGACGGGAATCACATCTACTAGTTTAAAGCGGAGCATCAGCAAAGCCGGTCAATGCAGCATCTATGAGTGGCACCTTAACATTGCGGTAATGCCCGGTTTTTCTGTCTGCGAGCCTTGCAATGACAAGAATGTTCTGGGAGGCATAGGTTCCAGTCTCGGTCTCAGGTTTGAGGATATCAACTCTCAACACTCAGGCTGCAAGATCAACGTCCCACACACCCCAGTGTCCAAACAGAACCAAACTCTGTTGAACTCCATGCCTGGCCAGACATTGCAGCCATGGCCTTCACTAATTAAGGCACAGGGGCATTGGAGGTGCATGCTCAGAGAACAGGGCTTCCGACCCCTCATTGATATTCTCCGTCAACATTATCCAGACTCCGAAATCTCCGGACCTTGCGTCTACAGCGCACATACCCATCTGCGCACTCGGCTCGTTGTGAGGGGTCGTGGGCTTAAGGCATGAGCCCTGCAAAGCAATCGTTTGCGTGGTACAGAAGGAAACAACCTGAACCTCCGCAACAACAGCCTTGGTAACCGCAGACCTGAATTGCGCAACTCGTGAGAACGAGAATAATGAAACCCAGGCAACTGCTGAGCAGAAAACCTCCGAATAGTTGCCGGTTGCATGATGTTGAAATTCTCCAGAGCGTGTATGATGTCTTTTATGCATAAAACCAAAGAGCACGGCCTGTGCAAAGCCGGCGAAGGAGGAGAAGTCCATGCCACCACCTCTGCCACCACCGGATGCCTGCACTTGTACGGGGCTGTGCCATTTGCAGGATGCAGCAACAACTTAAGACAGGAGTACGACTTGAGGCACATCAGTCGGGATTGAAGACAGCAAAGCTTCTTGCAGTACGACGCTACATAAAAGGTCAAGGCGCCTTCGGGAATCGATTAGGCTGCGCGGAGTTACGCATCATCGGCAGTATAGGGCTGTGGGAACTCGGAATTTCATGCGGCATCAGTCTTCTCAGAATCCATGGCATGACTAACGAAAACAATCTGACTGGCGAATTACTGTCCCACAGTCCGCAACACCGCAACTGACACCCATGGCATCCCGGCCTTAGACGCCCCGCATTGGGGGCACGTCGCCTTCAAACACCAACTCTGGGGTCAGGACTGCAAGGAAAAATCTCGCTTTTCTTCTGGCCTGTCCACCCTACAAGGCCTGAAGTCCCAAAAAACCTCTGACCTGTCGTCCTCCATGCCCTGGCAGGGCCTGTTGGGAAAATGAGTTCGCATTTCGTGCGCACCGCTCCATCATTACTCAGATTGCTCACCTTAACTGGGGAACATGGATCGCTGACGATTAGCTTGCGAACGTCTTGATCGGAATCCACCGAATCGCAGTCGCGGTCTACCTCAGACAATCTCGTGATTGTTGGAGGTCTGCTGGGCGTGAGCCCTCACGATAACTCTCCGCGCGACCCTGGCTACTGAAGTCTGGTTGAGACTTTCGGGCGCAAGGCGGAATGTCTTCTTGAGCCAATGCCTGGCCCAAAAGCGGTTGCTTGCAGTGGGTACTTAGATGACCGTGGGCTCAAAGGGTCAGGAACCTGACTTAGGTTTTCCAGAACCCCCTCCTCACAGCAACCCAAAAAAATCATAAGACTTGGCAAATCACGAGCTCCCGAGCCTAAAGGGCATTTGGAAGGTGTGGGGACCATGAACCATCCCACCGCGACCGCACCTTGGAACCAAAGACCAGCCGCGTGTGGTTCACACATCCCGAATTTGGGCACCTGCAAGGCAAAAAAACCCTTGCAAGCCAAGAAGTATGACCAGGTGCAATGCTATAGCCGCCATCGGCCACGAACTGGACCACGAACGAACAAACACTGACTGCCGAAGTTCGTCAACATGTGTACTGAAGTTTCAACTTTCTTGTCGTTCTCCCCGAAATCACTAGCTGTGCGTAACAAGCCCAACGACATGGGAAAGCTTGCATCGAACTTGGATGCGCGCAAGCCAAGACAAGCCAACGGCCAACACAAAAAACATCGTCATCCATGACAATGACCCGGATTGCTGAACATAAAGATGTCAACCACTCACAGTGCAAGAACCTACACCTTACGCGATTTCAACCAGGCCACGCCCAATCTTGATTCCCTGCCATGACCTGGGCGGCCGCAAACATGTAGAAGTTCGGCCGTGAGATCATCTGACAATGCCAAATCATGCGCAGCTGTGTCGGTCAGTATGTGTCTGGGATATGGTCGCAAGTCGCTGCTTTGCGACTCTTCGAGGAATGTGTTAAGAATCTCCCCTTTGCACGCTTTCGACTGTCCCGGAAAATCTCATCTAACTCTAAACTTTGTCCTAATTGCTATCGCACTTCGACGCAAAAATATTCGGCAAGTCACCTGCTCTGCTTCTATCACGCTCGCCGTTCGTGTCCACAGGTCTGAGGCCGGCACTCGCGGTGGGCGCCTCCACAAGCGCACCGTGAGCGGCCCTAATTTAAGCCGAAACCGGCAGCGAATGAGGTGATGCCTGCACATTTAGCATGAAGCGTGCTAATGGCCCCATGTAAGACTACACTTCTGTGCGTGGTGCTCATCCGACGGAAACTCTCACAGAATAGCCAGAATCTTTACAAAGCTTCGCAAGCAAAGCACGTCCAGCAGCATACAGCCCCAGGGATTCCCAGGTTGCGCTGCACTCCACACATTGCTCAGCCATCAACACCCAGCTCATCTGCTCACTCTTCGGTGTCGAAATAGTGTGCGATAGTGTGCGGATCATAAAGCCCGAATTGCATGTTGAGCTTGCTGCTTGCAATGAACACGTTAACCGCAATCACCATCGAGCAACTCATCCATAAACATTCTTCCAGCGCCTCGGCTCTGCATCCAACAACCCAAACCCAAGATCTCGCTCGAAGCATCTCGAAGCACTACGAGTACCGTGGCTGAGGGGTAAGCTCGGGGAGCTTGCTGTTGTACGGAATCTGTCTCGGGGCGTGCCAAAGCAATGAGGTGGGAAGGCTACAATACGTGACGCATTCGTAATGTTCGTTGAGCGTTTGGCTGCGTAAGACAGAATGTGACAGAATTCAGCAGTTGTGGAGCCTCCAAACCTCTCCACGCAAATCCCTTTTGGCATGCTTTGAGAAATCCGTGCGAGGCAGAATTCAGCAGTTGCGGAGCCGCCAAATCTGTTCTCGCAAATACGTGTTGGCATGCTTTGAGAAAGCCTTCAGTTGCTGCTCTGCTTCCGCATAGCTTCGTCTGGGATCATCATCAACTCGCCACAGGAGCTTGAGATCAGAAATCAGCGCGTTCTGGAATTGGTCCTGGAATGACTCCTCAATTTGGAGGGCTCTGACCAGCAGGGCCACCCACTTCTGACGCTGAGGCTTCGTCGGAGCGCGCAGAACGACAGCAAGATGGCCTGCGCAATCCATTGCCTGCTCCAAAGCCTCTTTGCTGATTTCGGCGGACTCTGGCAGCAAGTCCTTCATCTGGCCAAGCATGGCTTCGTCAATCCACTGCTTTACGAAACGCAGGCCACCAAGCCCATAGTTGTTCACAAGACTGTGCGCGTGAGTCCTCACAGAAACATCCACGTCGCGGCAGTGCACCAAGAGAGCTCCAAGGTTCGCGCTGACGATGTCGCAGACATCACTTTCTGGCAAATGGGTTTTGTCCGCTGACGCCAGCCTCATGCACCACCAGCGGCCTGGGAAGAAAAGTGCATTCGGTGATTTAACTTGCTTTCCGTGCATCAGGCTTGTAAACGGCCAAGAGACACTCGAAGAACTTCCGTTGCCTGCCATCCTCTGCCAGTTCACCCTCCAAGGCGTCGGAATCTTCACCGTTGCGGTTCCATTGTGCCGAAAATCTAACGATTGACTCGGACCTGCGCATTGTCACTCATGTGCACGACTCCTCGTGTGTCGCACAGGAGATGCCCACCAAACCCGTGCCTGTCCAACCTGCCCGTTTCGGACACGTGCTGTATCAAGACCTCAGCTTTCACGAAAACGCACTTGCTGCTATGCAATGGATTACACTCGGCTCTCTCAAAGGCAAAACTGCACAAAGCTCCCTGCCCTGGGACTTCGCGTCTCGCAGGACGTCACCCGCCATTCCATGAGGTCATCCACCTTCGGGCAGGTGCAGGCGCCCCATGATGTCCGCCAGCCGCTTCTCTGACAGACAAGGCGCTGAAAGGTACGGCAAGGGATTGAGCCTCAAGACTTGCTCGCTCGAAGAGTCCATTGCACGGGTGCTTAGTCTACGGATGCCAAGTTGCAAACACGTGCTTTGGAAGCTCGAACGGGTCCACAACCTGGACAGACCCCAAACTGAAAGTCGTTTCAGTGGCCAGCGGTCACTGGGCTTCCAAGCATCTGAAAAAGCTGGGCGTTCACGGACATTCTCCCGAGCCGGGGCCTCAGCTTTTGCGTCAAACAACTCAGTCTCCAACTCCAGAGACTCCAGGATCTCGCTCGAAGTTCTGCCGTGGCTGAGGGGGAGGCCGTCTGTTGCACGGAATCTGCCTCGGGTCACATTAGGCGCATACCAAAGACATGAGATGAGAAGGTTAAAATAAACTCGGGCGGCTGCCGACCAGAGCTTGGATTTGTCGGCATCGTTATAGGAGAGCGATTCAGAGATCTCAGGCCGAGATGTCACATGGGAAGAGTCAAATCAGATTGTGCTCTGAGAACAACACTCACCGGTCTCCGTGGCAATGCCCACAAAGGCAGCATGCGGCAATGCTGGCGGCTGTGGATGCTCACGACCTGGAATTTCGCCGCACCTTTCGCCAAGTCTCAGATAGCGAAAGGAGGCGCCAACTGCTCAGAGAGCTCCAGCGCCAGCTTCTCCAAGAAAAGAAGCTGGGCAGGGTGTGGGCACTGCCTCGGATGCGAGCTGAAACATCACGGTCTTGCAAAGCATCGCTCACTTGCGCCAGGGCCGCCAGGGCACTCCCAGATTTTCAGCTGCTGCAGGACGCTGGAGCGATGGGACGTCTCCGGCGACGTTTTGCACATCTTTTGGAAATGATGCTTTGCTTGGACTGCAGGCGACAGCATGGACTTGGGGTATCGCTGGACTGTCGTCAACATAGTGCGAATGCGCAGATCCTGCTTGACCAGCGAGAGCTATGTGTGCTGCGGCACTCAAACACACCACGTATGAAGAAGAGCAATGGCCTGTTTTCTCTGGGGCGTCAGTTCGGCTTGAAATCTCGCAGCACCAAAAATTGCAAAGGAGCCATCGTTCGCACGTTAAGATTTCAGAAAGCTTCAGGGTTTCCGCTGGCTGATAGTGGCAGTGATTCAAGCCCGAGCCTAATGATGGAAACCATCCCGCCTCGCCGTCACGAACTTCACCACTCTACACCCATCAAAAGCCCCAAAGTCCTAGAATTGCAATTCCTGCAGTAAGATCTCTTAATTCAACACTACTCTGATTTCCAGTCTTATTCTCATTCTCGGGTTGTACACTGATATCAAGGAACCCTCAGGAATGCTATACTAGAGTGTCAAGTCATTCCCATGGTCGGCAAGTCGGACGTGCGGACGATGAGGCAGCGATAGCCCGGTGTGAATAATGAGATCCGCGGCCAAACAAATGAGTTCACTCGAGAAATATCGCCCCACAATCCAACACATGTGCATGCAGCAGAAGACCAACCAAATGCATACGCGCAAGCTTCAATCCTTCAGTGGATCGCACCGTCTCCCATAATGCGCAAAGCTTACACGTTTCATTGCACAAATCCCACTTAGTTAGGAATCTGCCGCCTTTGACAGCAAGTTCCGGGCTGGTGAGGCTCCACAAGACATGGGAGTCCGTACGCAGGGAATGAGTTGGCCCCACTAGCGGTGCCCGGTAGCGAGCGCAGGTGCGCGTCAGCGAAGGGACCGCAGAAAGACGGGATCTCATAACCTGGCGGCAGGGCCCTCCCCCAACAGCCTCTTTGCCGCGTCCTCAGTATAAAAAGGACTTGGAGCTCTTAGGCAGCTTCTTTCTCACTTCGCTCCCTGCGGCACATTCATGGCCCATGCACTCAAAGCATCTCTCCTTCTTTGGCTTCCTAGGCTGCCCTGCCTCTGTTTCGGCTGCAGTCTTGGGCCTGTCGAAGGCTGCATCAGTCAGGCCGACGATCTTGCTGTTGCTTTCCGATGGCTCAACCCTGCGCTCGCAGGGCTTGAGGTCTTTGGAGCGTCTCGCGACCTTCACCAGGCATCTGTCCACGGACCGACGATTGATGAGCCGTACCCTCGGAACCGTCACACAGACTGCCTGTTGCGTGGCGTCCCTTTGCAGCGGCTGAAACGAAAGATGTCGGCGACACACGGACAGACGGGGCAGACAAGGATTGGGAGATCTGAAATTACGAGACCAAGTGAACGAGATCGGAATGAATGGGGTAGAAGATGGCACGAACACGCTGAGAGGCACGTTCAGGGTCTGCGCTGTGCACGCTCGACACTTGCAAGCGCGGTGAAGGGCTCGAAGAGATTTTTGGAGCTGGCTCCATTCTTCAACTCTTCTCCACTCACTTACGGCCTTCGCCAATGAATGGTTGTCGTTTCGTTGCTCGACTCTTGCGGGCCCAGCAAAACCGAGCAGCAGGCCTGCGACTGGCGCCGGACTCGTGGGGCCGAACCTCGAAGTGCCCCTGAGCCAGGACGGCCGGGGGCAGCATCTGCTTGAATTCTTGACGTCGCCTCCATATTGGGTTTCCTCCAGGGGGTGGAGAAGCTCGCGCCTCTGGAGGCGCAGCCCGGAGAGTGATTGTCGTGTCACGTCGCGTGGCATCTTGCCTCCGTGCAGGTGGACGAACTCCTCCGCGCAGGGCAGCCTCCGCCTCAGGACCGGGCCACAGGCCGGTGAAAAGTTGGCAAACGTCGCGGATGCGAAGATTGCTTTTGAAACACTGAGGTGCGTGGTCGTGGACGTGCGGGCGGCAGACCGGGCCTCTGGCCACATCAAGGCCTTTCAGCGGATCTGTGGTTCGGCGCGTCCTGCCTCTCTCCATCGCTGCAGGGGTCGGTGCACGAACCCACCAGCTTTCAGGCTCCCCTTTTGAATCGGGCGGGAACGCCAAGAGAGGGAGTGGGTGCTTAGAGAAGTCGCGTTGGACCGCTCGTGACCTCGTGTGAGGTGCCGGAGCTGGTGGCGAAGTTCTCGAAGGAGAAGCTGGTCGCCGGCAGCTCGGGGTCGGTGCTCCTCGCATGTTGTGCTGCCGCTTAGATTCCACGTGCACAGCTGCTGAGATCTTCCACTGCCAGTACTCCATGCACCGTGGCCCCCAGCGGGATGCCAAGTCTACTGTCATGGGCCATTTGTGGAAGGCAACTGATCGAAGGTCATTGAGCTTCGTTTATCACGCTTCTTTGGTGGAGCCGATCTGAGACAGCACGGCAGGTGTGCAAACTGGTATCGCGAGCAGGCGCCGACTTCGCAGCGGGGGCCCTGTTTCCCTTCAGTTACGCATGTTGCGCTCTGACATTCGTGCCCTGAGAGCAGAGTGAGTTACATCCGACTCTCCCAGATGGCACTAGACAGCTTCTGCAAACAGTAAACACAGTGCCACCAACGGTATGTGTGCGACCTTTTGTACGAACATGTTCGACACTGACGCTGGTCGTGTTACTGAAGCCGTATGGTTTAGAACAGGGCAGAGGAAAGCAAAAGAGGACGGCACAGGGTCCCGGCCTTCACCTCAGCACATGCCTCGCGGAGCAAGCCTATGTACAAAACGCGCTCCATGGCACGAGGAGCAAGGGGAGGAGAGAGAAGCCACGAGCCGATAAAACTCTGGCCAGGAGGGAATGCAACAACTGTCGATGTCACATGTTGGGCCGTCTATGATCTCGGGCCGCTCCATTCGGAACGACCCCGCGACCGGAACTTGCACTTTGCAACTTGATCTGATGACCTTCTATGCTCGAGGTGATGAGCATGTGGAACGGCTGCTCTGCTGTTATCCGAGGCAGCTCCGCTTTTGGTGGGCAAGCAGATTGCATCTGTGAACGATGTGGCACTCTGGCGATAAGCACACTGTGCCTGATAAGACTACTGCACGGGTACCAGGCCACGTCCCCCAGGACCGCTCCTGTTTGTGAAGCAAGTGCGGGTTTCAGCGTGCCTATGTCTTGGCAGTCTCTGAGAGGGCAGGTGCTCAGGCTTGAGACGTGGTTTGTGCGTGTCACCCTTGCGCAGTGGCCATGCTTATCTCTTGGTTTGTGCGTGTCACTCTTGCGCAGTTTTGTGCGTTGCTGAATGGGTGCCTCGCAAGTGGCTCAATGCCAATGTGAAGATCATCTGGGTAGGCGACCGCTGCTATGAAATGTAATCGCGGCGCGAAATGGCAGGGTTGAAAGCCAGTAGAACTTGCTCAGAAGCCCACGCACCGGAAAGTAGCACACGTGATGTGGCTGCCATTGCCCGACAGTGAAAGCAGCAGACGTGATCATGCCGCCCTGGCTCTAAAGTGAAGCAGCAGTGATGATGCCGCCCTAGATGTGAAGTGAAAGCAGCAGACGTGATTTTGCACCCTGCCGTTGGAGGCTTAAACTGCGGAGGCCCCTTCTTTTGGCAGCTAATGCCAGGTTTTGCCTCCAAAAAGCCGTTCCGCTTCCTAAGGGCCGCGTTTTGCCCTTGTGACACGTGGAAGCAGCAGACGTGATTTTGCACCCTGCCTTCGGAGGCTTAAAACTGCGGAAGCTCCTTGTTTTGGCAGCTACCCCATAGACCGGGTTAGGCCGAAAGTTATCTTTGCCAGAACACCGGGGGATCTCCTGGATCACAGGAATTCAAGATATTTATCTTATCCTGTGATTTTGGATATGATATCCAAAATCCCAGCGTCAAGTTCTCCAAAATCACAGCGCCATATTTTGGATCCCAGATCCAAAATCACAGTTTTATTTTCAACCTGTGATTTTGGATTTAAATCCAAAATCACACTTCCCGAATTCCTGCGATTTTGGATCTAGGTCTGGCCCGGCAGGGGTCGAAACTTCGACCCCCAGGGGTCGAAACTTCGACTCCTCGGGGGTCGAAGTTTCGACGCCCCCAGGTCGAAATTTCGACACCCCCTTGGGTCGAAACTTCGACACCCCAAGTCGAAGTTTCGAGCCGAAACTTCGACACCAATCAACTAAGAGTGCAACCCTTGCAGTGAATCGTAATATCACAACTTGCAAACTTCGACCTCGGTGTCGAAACTTCGACCGGTAGGGTATCGAAACTTCGACCGGTAGGGTGTCGAAACTTCGACTTGTGGGGGTCGAACTTTCGACGAAACTTCGACCAAACTTCGACTTGGCACCCTTCAAACTTCGACCAGTGAGGGGCCGAAACTTCGACGAAGTTTCGTCGAAACTTCGGCCTCGCCCGGGCCCAAACGAGTTCACTAAATCCTGTGATTTTGGATATGATATCCAAAATCGCAGGTTGAGCATATCCAAAATCACAGCGCCATTTCAAAACTGTGATTTTGGAGATCTACGTGTTCCCTTTTTGCTCCCTGCGTCCTTCCTGTAGGGTTCCTTTTTTAGTTAAAATTTTGGCTCCAGCCAAAATTTTAACTAATAGTTAACTTTTGGGCTAACCCAGTCTATGGGGTAAT